AAATTCACAAAATGGTCCATGTTCCTCCCAGTAACAATAAGAAGAATGGTGCCCTGAGAAAATGTCGCGTGAGTGCTAAGCACAAGGTTAGAAAAGAAACAAGTATCATGTGTGCAGGCTGTGGTGTGGCTCTCTGCAAACTTTCATGTTTTAATGTTTATCGCACGAAGAAAAACTAATAAAGAGGTATGGAAAGGCATTTATTGCATAAAATATTGTATTTTAATTAGTTCCTGATAATTTCGTTTTTAAAAACCAATTTTTGTTGAAGTTATTTAGGAAGAAGTAACTACATGCATTTTTGCGACATAAGGTTTAAAGGGCCTGCCAGGACAGGGGTGGGATTTAAATACCCTTCGCGCCAGTCAAAGAGTTAAGTGGAGGAATTGTTTTGGAAGAGACTGTGGACCTGTCGTCTTGATGGATTACTGATGATGATGATGATGATGATTTGTGATGGTCAGACAACCAGTGAATTCTACATTGCTGAAATTCAAATTCAATATCTCTCCTAGAAAAAGAGATTATTATGACAAGTTGGATTGAGGTGGCTTAGAGTAATGTCTAATGACAGATTGCGTGAAACCAGGTAATTTCTTGATCAGTGAATATCAGCTGTACGTTTTAGTAGTTCTTTAACCATGCCTTCTTCTTAGGGCCAGTTAAGCATGTATCAACTAATCATACTTTCTCACTTCATTGTATTGCTTCCATTTTAGGTTGAAGAAGATGGTGAGGGTGAACGTAAAGTGACACTCACATTAGAGGAGCGGCTTAGAGTATTGGCTGAACAGATCTCAGCTCTGGTACATAGTCGTCGCTCATGCATGTCGCTTTCTGCTCTCTCAGCAGCATTTCTTCGCCAGCATGGCTATGCTCTCAAACCTGAGGCTTACCAGTGTTCAAGTCTGGAGGAACTAATACAATGCTTACATCATTCTCTTGCAGTAAGTACACAGACTTAAAACCAAACTGTTTTGATTATGTCAAACCATGATAGGTTGTCAGTGTAAGAAAAGTAAAATGAGAAAAGAAGCAAACTTCGCTGGAAATTTTTTCACTTACACTGAATCTTTGTTACTATAACTTCAAGGCTATAAATATCAACGTGAGAGGTTGGGAGAGTTTACATAATTAGGGTCATCATCGTATATCAGCTCATCAGTATTATTATTATAGTCAAATGGCATTTAGTTTACTGGGTGTAAGTATGAGATCTGAAAAATAACTGTGCTGAATATTTAGAAAAAATACATATTGCTACTAAACTTTAATGGGTATGATTGTCTTAAATACTCAGCTTCTAACTTTATACATTCATTTCAAAATCTGTGCCTCTTCAGGAAATCGTTTTCTGAAGGGTATTAGCTTGAAAATTTAGACCTTATTGCGACAACAATGTGCTCAAGACACCAGATGCTGGGACACACCGGTGGGCATAGTCTCAAAGTTTAGTTCTAGTAGTAGCAGTTTAAGTGAGAATAAAAATGCTTGTTAGTCCCGGACTAGTTTCATTGTTAGGACATTAAAAATACATATGATTTTAGTTTGGGCTTGCTTATGTTAAGACTGGTGTGTGACTTACCAGAGATGGATGTTTTAATTTTAAAGTTTTCAGCCATTTCTTCCCTTTTTAAACCCCCTTTTCTTGTAGGTATGATGATATTCCGAGACTTGAACTTCAGTGGCTGTTGAGGTTGAGTTCTTGTTAATTCCCTCTTTAAGCCCTAAGTTGTGATCTGTAAAGCTTTGATCTTATCTGACCTACATTGTGGTTATAGTGTTTCATTGATGTAAGTTATTCACAGTCTTGTTATTTTGTTTTTGTATAATATTTTGCAGGTAATACCTTAAGACGGTATTGTAATGTTCTTGACAAAGGCTTACCAGTGTGTTAGAGAAACTTGCTTGGTACATCTTTAGGCTAGTAGTGCTTTCTAACCACCTGTCAAAAATCTGAACTTTTATGACTGGAAACCTCAAATCTCATATTAAAATAGAACTTTACCATTGGCAACACAGTCCCCTAAGAGAAGGCCAAGGGCAGACATCACATGAAACTTGGTGCCATTTGTCTTTTATGGGTGGTTTACACAGGTTGTGGTGATAAATGCAGGGCTTCGTGAATCACAGCCTTACTCACCACAGTGCTGTGCAAGAATGGGTTGAGTTGTGGAAGTATGAAATTGTGTTACATATATGTGTATTCTGAGGTAAATGCTTGAACATTATTTCCCATTATCATCCCCCCCACATAATTAACCCTGAGCTGCATATTGTTATAAAGCAGAATCTTTCCATCCTGAATGCTTGCCTATTGGTTTCATAGTGTTCAGTTTATTGGGAGGAGCGTGACTCTGTAATGACATCCTTTCAGTGTATCCATGCAGGTTCATTTGTAGTGTTATGAATTTGTTTTTGTTTGTTTACTTTATGACAAGAAAGAATGTAGACTCTTTGAAGTACTCAAGTTGGTGATCATGAAATGTAGGTCTTCCTGGGTCATAATGTTGTGTAGTTCAAGGATAGCCTGATGTTTGGGGAGAACTATTTTTCCTCCATTGTCAGGGTTGAAGAGTAAGCCAAGCAAGAAGCCAACAGAAACAGCTGTGCACTTGCTTCTACTGATTTCTTGCTTGTTTCGGTTTTCAATTCTGAAGAGTGAGGCATTATGTTCTCCGAAATGTCAAGCTATCTCAAAAGTACATGACATTACAACCTAAAATACTTCTCTGTCATGTGAGAAATGCATTTTAGATATTCTGTCATCAACCCATATAGTCCCTGATCTACTGTTATGTGAACTCAGTTTAACAGTTCCTTCAGAAATTCAGATTTTAGTGTATTGTGACATGTCAACGCAATTCCAGGCAATGGCTTGATAAACACCTCGCAATACACGCACACAACAATAGAAGAATGGGGTAATACAACCTGTTTCAGTAAAGACACTTCTCCATAGGCAGTGACATCACACAACATTAGATAGCAACCATATGGCATGTTTTCTGTAGGTCTGTCCCAAAGGTTTATAGGGGACAACAGAGGTTGTTTGCAGGTAGTCGTAAGCTGGAGGAGTGAGCACTAGATAGAGTTTTAGTTGAGTTCCAAGGTTCCAGGGTGGTTGAAGATGGAATAAGAAGAAGACTTCATAGTGATATTACGTAGTAGTTTCTGTGTTGAGATCCATTGCCAGGAGATGACTAGTGGAAAGTGAGAATCCTAGAGCATGTGCAACGGTGAACTGGAAAGTGAAAATCAGCGATAGTGCTGTATTAAGCGTGATTAAGAGAACTTGTAATCAAAGTGCTAATCAGTCCATCAGAAGTAGAACCCGTTATTTTCGTCATGCATACCCCCAAACATGAGACAATATCATAATGATCTAAACAATCAGTTTATGATTTTTACAAAAACTGGTTATTTTTACAACAAGAGCTTTTTCTGCTTTGTAAGATAAATTATGTTGTATTTAATTAGAAGTACTTACTTGCTTCAGTATTGTACCATGATGTAATTTCTGTTCCTAATTGCTTCTTCACCTTAAGTGTCATACCAAAGCTTTCTTCATTCTTTATCACCACATTGTTCAGAAGCAGCACTTTTGAAAATTGTACGTCATGTTGAATTTGAGGATCTCACGGTGGTGACTGAAAAGTTCTATCGTCTAGGATGTAATACCCTGCTGTCTGGTGAAAGTCATCCAAAACATCAGTTGACATCCACTGGACTACACAGTGCCATATCCCAGAATACAGATCTCTTCGTTGTCCATCATCTTCAGTCTTAGCTATAAGTATTAGACAGAATTCAAAAAACCATTTTATCACCATTCAAATTTCTATATTTGTATATATAACAAAGAATATTCAACAATTCAGATCGTGCCCTCATCATCTGGACTTTTGGTGACATTAGTGGATCGTGCTAAGCTGCATCAGTTAAGTCTCCAGGCCCGAAAAATCCTCATGGAACAGCCCTCTGGCAAGATATCTGCTGGAGAATTTCTCCGGACCTTTTGGAATTACTTCAACCAGACTTTTGATATGGATCAAATTGATAAACAGCTGGCTGGAATTATACAGGTATGTCACAATTATAATTTAAACCTGATATTAAGGTAGCCTTCTGAAACTAAGGTTTAACACTAAAGTGTAATATCCATGAATGTAATCAATTTGTGTTTGTTCAAAGTGCTGTCTAAAGTTACTCTTTCTTTAACTTCAAAAAATTAGTGTAACATGCAGAAATTATAGGGTATAGACTTTAATTCGCATAGGTTATACATTAGCATTTAACCTTTAAGACATTGGCCCTTTAAATGCCCACCATTGTAGAGTATTACAAATTGTAAGCATGTTACTGAAAATGCTGTGATTTCTACAATTTTTGTGATAAACGAACGAAATAAACACTGCTCTTATCTAGAAAGAATATAGAATCAGATATTGTAATTTACAGATTTTAAAATCTGTAAAAATTGTTACACTGATTCCAAAAAAAAAAAAATTTCCCAATTTTGAGCGTCTGTCCACAAATATACATACAGTTTCTGCAGTATAAATGCATGCTGCTGACATCCTGTTTTAGTATGTCTTATCTGGGAAAAGGGGAGGAAGTTTGTGTTTGTATTGCACATTCTCCAGTCATGTGAGAACCTTTCTGTATGCACGAGTATGGTCGAAGTCTTATCGTACTTTGTCCCTCAGAAACTCTGACTGTATATCTCAGACTAGCCACACACAGGTACTGTTCTTGGAATAGCCCTGCATTGCCCCCTTGCTTCCTCGCCACTTTCAGAGTTGTCTGTACCGCAGTCTGAATCGGTGTCATTTATACAAGCTGGAAAAACATTCCTTCATCCCACGTTTGCCCCACGCACATTCAAGCATGGGAAGCGTATTGTCAGCTGCTTCTCAATTTCGGCTTCTTCCACGCGAAATGAGGCCATCGTGGATAGTTGAAATCGCAATGTTTTATGAGCGTTACGATTAGAGGAGGCCACTTGACATCACTGGCCGACTTCCTCTAATACGAGACTGAGGTGTCGTATGTGCTCTTCGCGTGGGAAACAGAGTTACATCCGGACAAAGTGCATCAAAGTGCATGACACTTCGGACTCTGCATTCAGTTAGATGACGCAGGAGGGAAGACTGTCTACTTATAAAGTGGGTGCCCAAAAATAATGTAAGTAGAACAAGAATTTCTGTCTTAAAATTAGATTTGAAAACACTGTGCACATGCATGGACTGTGCATACCCATACGGTGTCGCATGGCCACTTGGTTACACTTTATCCTTTAACATACAGACTTTTAAATTGCCCGCAGCCCTCTGCAGCTGATATTTAAATCGCCCTAATTAATTAACATTGCAAACTTTCAGAAAAAAATCCATATTTTCTGTTCTATGCAACATAGAAATACAAACTAAAAACAACCTGAAAGACAATAAAAGTTTCTACATATACACAAAAGAGCAATTTTTACAAACGAAAATTAACTGTGATTATTTTGTCATGAATTGCAAAATATAATCTTTATTATATATGTTATGAAATTCCAAAGGACTTACCAGTTGTTTTTTCTTCAACCTTGAATCATGGTGATGTAAATATAATCACACTATATGCAATAATATTTTTTTCACACTGTACACGTGTTTGAACTGTGTCACTTCACAGTTTATGATACACTCTGACGTGCGTGGCACATCTCAAAGCAGTCCACCTCACACAAAGCGACATCACACTTTTTATAATAGAAGAGCGTGCTCCTGCTTTTCTTATTTAGCGAAACACATGACAATGTCTTTGTTTCCCTTAGGTTGGCTAGTGTTGTGAATGTTTCACCTCCAGTCGACTTAGTTGGGCCCCAGGTGACCTTGGCCTCCCCCAAGAAACGCCACTAACTGTGATATTGAGCTTTGAGACTTGGTGATATTGTAAATATAATCACGCCATATACCATAATATATTGTTCAGACTGTACACGAGTTTGAACTGTGTCACTTCACAGTTTACGATACGCTGTGACGTGCGGCACTTCTCGAAGCAGTCCACCTCACACAAGGCGACATCGCACTTTTTACAATAGAAGAGCGTGCTCCTGCTTTTATTATTTAGCGAAACACATGACGTCTTTGTTTCCCTTTCGTTGGACAGTGTTGTGAATGTTTCACCTCCAGTCGACTTAGTTGAGCCTCCGGTAACCTTGGCCTCCCCTGAGAAACGCCACTGACCGTGTTATTCGCCATGTGATATTCAGCTTTGAGACTTGGTGATATTGTAAATATAATCACACTATATACAATAATATTACTATACGTGAGTTTGAACTGCGTCACTTCACAGTTTCAGTTCACAGTCACCTCACTATGATAGTCACACTGACACGTCGCAGTGGCAAAGATGCCTTTTACTCACAAAGTAATACTGGCTCAGTGGGTTTATACCTCTTCCAAGATGCAAAATAAAAATGATATATAAAGAAATATATGACAGTCTGACACTGACTTCCTGACTGATAATTCGCCACTGAAAACCAATCCTTGAATGTGTCAGACTTCTTGAAGGCTCTGGAAGCACTCATATGCAAGCACCGATAAATATTTCCTCATCAGTACTCGAAAGGAAGCTGGGCTATATTTGGCTGACAAGGTCATAAACAGTCATATCTAAACGTAAATAGTATCGAAACCAGTACCATAATAAACAATTTCTTTGTTCAGAGCTAAGGAATGAACCACTGACATGACCTCACATAGGTTTGTTTTGGTTTCAAACCCAAGGTCAAACTGTCAGCACTCCCAAAGAATGCATGTGGCCTGCATCATATATACGTGTCATTCGGCCAACTCTGGTTGCTGCTTGCGACATACATACGAGAGGGGACCCAAAAATAACTGGAACCGACCTGGTGCGTGCGCATGCTTTGTAGTTACGAGTTGTGCTGCTAGGTGGTGTTTGCTGGTGGTCTCCTGCGACTGTTAGTGAGCTGGCGTCAGTCTGAGTTAAGTGGTTTGTCTGTGGTGCTCTGTTGTGTGCGTTCCTGTTTCAACCCTTTGGCGATTAGTGAGATGGCCGACCAGAAGGAACAAAGAGTGT